AATCCAATATTAAACAACTCAATATCAAAATGATAAGCGGAAAAAGCTCTACAAACACTCAAAGTTTCAAAGGATAAAGAGCTGGCTGCCGCATCGACTGACGAAACCCCATCAAATTACTCATACGATTCAAAAGATTCTCAAGAAAGTCATTTGTTGACTGTTCTGATGTCTCCTAAAAGTCAAAAATGAAAGCCATGTTCGAGAAAAAGTAGTATTGAATGCATTTGAAATCTGATGCTGATTCTGAATATGCTATTCTTTCGCAAAAATCAATCCGTTTCACTTACTTCAGTTTTTTTCTTAGTTCCAATAGCTTAAACAGAATAGTCTTCTTGACAGAAACACAATCGTCAAGAAAGAAAGTTGTTTAATTTTACTTTTGTATGTTTGTTTATGAAAAAACACTTGAAAATAAGACACTTTCTTTTTTTTCTTCTTTTTGAAAGTAAACTTGTTGTGCAAGTAAAACTGTTGCGCTAATCCTTCTTGCTCTCTTTAAATTCAAATTTTTAGTAATGCATCTACATAAACCCTATATATTTATTTTATTTGCCAACTTAATTTTCGAGTAGTGACGCTAGATTAATAGAATTCAAGGAGAAAAGGATGTAAGTGCTGATAAAAAAGCGGATACGTATACTATCAGCCATAATCTATCCGATATTATCATGCATCGCAGACGAACTAATTTGATAATCATCGATTGTCTGAATATTTCTTATCAGAACCATTATTGAGTGTAAAGAGATATACAACTTCGATAAGTAGAAAGCGATTGGATGCAAGAGAAATCTAGAATGAAAGTTGAAAGAAAATCGCAAGATATAGAATTCAGTCTTATTATTTAGAGAAGAATATTATATTTTTCCAGTCATTATTAAATCCTGCAGCTCATGATGATTAATTCCTACAAAACTGAATAAAAGATTTTTTTTCTATGTTGCTAAGACTACCAAGAGTTTTGCAATGAAATTCGCTTTCGATACAAGCTTTTTTCATTATATGAATTACACAAATGATTTAAGTAGATCTCTTGACTATAGAATAATAACTAAAATAGAATTTTTTTCAACATAAATTTCGTTTTATCAAAGAAAAATCGACAGTAAGAAATGTTTTTCTTTTCCTTTACGATAGTAAACTGTATGTGTAAGTAGCAGCCCTTCAATGAATATTTTCTTTCGTCCTCACAAACGACATTCTACTGATGCGTGCACACAGCCATTACCTAGTATGTTTGTTTTCAACTGAAATTCTGACTGGTGTTGAAAGATTGATAGGATTCATGGAATAGGCCTTTTTTTTCTAGCCAGGTTATCAGTAAATTCGGATGATATGAGTGAATATTATCAATCATGATCGAGAGTGTTTGAATTCTCGTTCCTGTAGAATCAGATGGATGTGATAATGGTAAAATGAGCCCACCATCGGGTTGAAATCTACTGACAGTGACTTCAGTCAGAGTTGAAAAAGCTCTATTGACTGATGCTATCATTTTGTGAATATAATTGAGCTTATCTTAAAATACTGCAAAAAATAATGCTGAAAATGAAGTAAAAACAACAGAGAATTTTCGAAAAAATCTCAGATGGATTCACTTCATATGGGACCGAAATTTTCTTCTCCTGACACCTGGTGGAGCTCGATATGCGCTACCGAATAATGTTACTCACAACTCGATTCAACATATTAGGGCGTAGAACGGTGTGTTACTTATAGGAATTATATTGTAGGCATATTCATTTATGTCTCGGGATGCATTGTCAGAGCGTCGTCGTTAAGACCGGTGAGCGGGCCAAGGACCTATGATGAATACCAGTTTTTTCATTACTCAGATACCTTTCTCTTAACAGATGTCAAGAATTTATGACAATGCTAATACACAAGAAAAGTATTTCCATGCTTTTGGAATGTTTCTAGCAGCATTTCACTTGAACCAATGATTTGAGATGCTCATCAAGCAAACTGAAACATTTAATTCAAGATTCTGAAAAATTGTTGGTACAGCTCTCTTTCTTTACCATACCGGCTGTCAATATTCATTTCAAGTTTGATCAAGTCGTACTGCAATGAGATGGTAGTCTCCCTAATTATTTGAGAAGTTCGAGCTTCATGATTTCGATGAGAATGTTGAATTTTAATTTGGCTTATAATGCTTAAATTTAAACAGTCTGCATTTATCTTCTACTGTGCAGTATGTTACTAATATCTACCAGAACCCATGGGGAGATGAATAAAGTTTTAACTATTTGATGAAATAAAAATGTCACATTTTCACTGTGAAAGCGCATTAGAAAACTATTTTTAATGAATTATCATATGCTTTGTTTTCCCGTGTGCAATTGAATAATGCAAAGTAATTGCTGGAATTTTCACGAAATATTTTTCACGTTTTTCACGGCTAAAAATATAACATCCTTTTTTTCATCGATTTTTACATGAGAAGGCGTTATCGACATTCAAAAATGATTAGTTTTTGACCATCTGGTAGGTGATGATGTATATCAACAATAATCTCTTCCTTCGTGCGAAATAGTTTTACCACATTGTTTATTTTATTTTGTTAGAGACTTCGCTACAAAGTGTCAGTCAATATGATAACAATTCAAATCAACGTTAGATTTTATTTCTTTCAGAGTAGGGAAAAGTGAGGGTGGGTGTGTGTGTGAGGTATGTGTGTATGAGGTGTGGGTGCGAGTGTGGGTGTGGGTGTAGAATGTGTTAATGTGTATTCGTCTAATTTTTATTCACACCCATACCCACACTCAAACCCCACACTCACATCCCACACTCACATCCCACACCCACATCTCACACCCCACACCCCACACCCACACCCCACACCCACAACCATACACACACGCACCCATTCACATAGCCACACTCCACACCCACAACCATACACACATGCACCCACCCACATAGCCACACTTCACACCCACACCCTTATGAAACCTTAACGATTTTAATGAATTTTTTTGAAGGGTCTTGTCTGATTGGGCATGGGTTCAAATACAATATAAACGAGATTTAATCAGGTTTAAACGCGTATCAGTCCATTTAAAACCTATTTATACTCATCTAAATCAGTTCAAGTCCATTGATGTTGCATTTAAATCAAATTTCAATGGGTTTAGGTCGTGGACAACTACACTCCAACTCAACTTAAATACATTTCAATTCAATACAAATGCATTTAAATCCAGCTTGATTCGATTTTAGTGCATTTCAATCTGACTGAAACCCATTTATATTGAACTTAGTTGCACTTAAATAGGATTTAAACCCATTTGAATCAATATAAATCAATGTATTTTGCATTTAAACCCAATTTAAATGCATTTCACTTGGATTCAAATCCATTTGTATTACCTTTTGATCCTACTTGAATGCATATAAATCATACGTAAATGCATTTCAATTCAAGTTCAATGGATAAGAATTGAATGTGAACAGATTAAAATTGATTTACAGGTTTTGAAATCCTATTTGAGTGCATTTCTATTGGGTTTAACGGCTTGTCCAAACGTAACGCTGTTACGTTTTTGACACATTGCTCTTCAATTAACTCGGAAGGTTTAACAGCTAGAAAGTTTATTCAAACGCCATTCGACACAGCTTATCAAACTCTATTTATGCTATAACAACGACCTTTTTCGGCTGAAGTCTCGCATGTCTAGAAAGGTTTTATTATCGCGTAACGCTGTTACATAAAAAGACCCTTTTTTCCAGTACCGCCTAGAAAACTCTAATTTCTAGCGAAACTATTTCTCCAAACGAAAACATTCCAGAGTCAGTTTTGTACAGCATCAAACAAGCTTTTAGGCAGTAAAAAAGATTTTTCCTAAAGCATATTTGCTCAGATGAAAAATGCAAAATACAAATGTAACGCTGTTACGTTTTTCGTAACGCTGTTACACAGTTTTTTGTGGACCAGTTTTGAGGCACTTAACATGTTTAGAATGGTTTGCTTTTTACAAATGTTACTCATTTTCGTGTAGATAATCTTCTACATAAGAATGAGATTGATACATCGATCCGAGACCTCATAAACCGGACAGTAAGTTGGAAACTGTGTAAGAGCCTGCAATATGTCTTTACTTACGAAAGTCAAAACTAAATAGGCCATTTTGTAGAGAACTAAATTCTGCATCGAACGGTACGTCTCTCAATATTTTTTCAAAAATTGTTTTGGTTAAAAAATTCAAAATATGATTTTTCACAAGTTTGAAACCTGGTTTTTTATTCTAAAACCTAACTTTTTTACAAAATAAATGTCAATTTCGTAATCAGCGTTAAAAATTGCATCTAGTAACGCATTCAGATTTGTCCAACTCGAAAAAAAATGTTTTCGAAACTTGATCAGCGAAGTGTCGCGTTACGTGGACAAGCCGTTAAACTAATTAAAACTGGTTTTAGTGCATTTATATTGCATTTAAACCTGATTCAAATGGATAGATGTGGATGTGGGGTGGATGAAGAGTGGAGCCTTATATTTCCACCCACATCCACACCTACACCTCATACCACAAGTTTTTCTCCAGTTCGAATTGCATCGGTATCAACTGTACATGGTTCTGACTAACAGCCTAGAGAAACAAATATCAAGTGTCAGAGTCATTTAAGTCGAAAAATTCATTAACATCAATGCATAAAAACTTGTATATTTGGCATTTTTCAAAGAAAATCTGATGTTTTAGAAAAATTGATCCTATACAAAAATCTTCTGACAGCAGGACAGTACTAAGCAGAAGTTAGAAAAATACTTTTCCAATAAGCTGTCATTTATTGTTACAAGTATCCTAGTCAAGACATACGATCATATTTGACGCGCGTAAACCACCTTGATGCGCATGACATATCTAGTAATGAGTCGATGCATTCATGCGTGATTGAGTATATAAATATACAAGTAAGAGAAGGAGAGAAAGTTGGTTTTTTCCCAGATTATTTATCTCTGATAATAAATTCCCTTCTTTTTTCTTGATTTTCATATAATGAATTCAAATAAGGACAAGTCGGTAGTAAAGAAAAACAACAATAATATTATTCTTCCATCAAAAGATTTAAGCATCCTACAAGCATGTCGCTCTGGTATTTTTATGGGTTTCATTGCTTACAGTGGATCTTTTTCTGCAGTACCAATATTTTTTACAGTAACTGCTTTTATGTTCGGTACAAAATCATTGATTACAATAATGGCAACAGCTTTTGGTCAACTAGCTGCTGGTTATCTTCGTACACATTCTTCACGAACTGGTATGGCTTTAAGTACGAAGTTATTTCATGGATTTTATATAGCGAAACCAGAAATGAGAAATAGACGAAAACATGCTTGTAGGATGCTTAAATCTTTTGATGGAAGAATAATATTATTGTTNGAATGCTCTTGTACTTAATTTCATGTGGGAGACATTTACTTTTGTTATATGATTCAGAATAAATTGTTCATCAGATATGTCGAAAGTTCTACCTCAAACATAATAGAAAATGGGAAAAGAAACGATTGCTTCATCAACAACCAAAGAAATCGAACCTCATCTTCTACTTATCCATGGAATCACACGTTATCTAGCGGGTTGTTCATCTGAAATGAGTACTGGTATGATAGATCAGCTATGGTAAAGAAATCTCGCACAAAGAGACATACCACATGCTATATTTAACAAGTAAGGTTCATCGACGTTAAAAGTCGATTCACTGGGCCCTAGACTGAGCAAATGAGGCAACTGCTAGTACATTGCAGTCCCAAACATTTTNTGTGAGTTGAGTTTAAATGACATTATTTGCAACAGAAACGTGTTCAGACACGTCTAAATTCTGTTTCATGATTGCATGAGAAAGACAGAACAAAGAAAGATTGGCTATGCAAATATCAGATGTGTATGGTCTTGATCTAGATATGGCAAAGCTGAATCAATCAAATCTTTTTTTCTTTTTCTATTGCCTATTGATAACACTCAAACGTAAAATTTACAGCTTTATTGTCTTTGTTTTGTATAACATTAGTCGAAGTAACACGACATATAAATTGGTGATAAATTATGATTAATCGACTTCTTGTCAAAGTAAGTTGCTTTTGAACTGAAAGACAACTGATTGAAGATCTTGCAGACGATTCCATTGAAGTTTTGAGTCAATGAATGCTCTGATAAGATGATCAAGTGTTTTAAATGATTAGAAATGCTTGTTACGGCTCTCTGCTCTTTACAGTAGTAGCCAGAAATTGAATTTAAAACAAAAGAAATTACTTAGCTCTTTTTGAAAGTCTGTTTTCTGACTTGATGATGACTTGTTCTAAAAAGTAGATATGGCCACTTTGGGCTATAGCTGAAATAGCAGGCCTCGAATACCGTTTGTGACAAAATTCTATTCTTTCATCATTACTATTTCCAGATAAAAAAAATATTATAGAGAAGATTTTGACATAAGATATGTTGATCTATTATTTTAGTTACGTCGCTCGAATCGTGGTGTAAGTCCAACGACAGATGAAATCGATACGAATATGATCCATGACGATGTGAGTTGTGTTTATCGTGTAAATCGATCATTTTCATGAGTTCTGCATAGAAAAAAAACAATCACGAATGGAATCGACCAATAGAATTTGTTCTATCGCTGATTTCGAACTCGATCGGTATTGAGCAATGTCTGGCGATTTCCATACCTAGCCGCTCAAAATGGTGGAGGTTGGTGTCAATTGTTTGTTATCTTTTTGACTTGATATAATTTTTAAGGTGCTTTTCTCGTTCGCTATTTCATTATTTACTTCCTTATTGGAGCTCCCCTCTATTATATGGAACTCGTTCTGGGGCAATTTTCCAGCCGTGGTCCAGCAACCAGTTTTATTTTTGCAAAGGGATGCCAGGGTAACATATTCAAAGCCTCTTCTTCTACGATAATTTCCTTTTCAGGCGTAGGTATTGCCATGATCATCAATAGTGCTATTACCATGCTTTACTACAATGTTGTCATCAGTTGGGCTTTGATGTATTTTGTCCTTTCGTTCCGCAACGACTTCTGTGCTCTGACTGTGGATATTGGTGGAATACGAATCGATGCTTTGTACCTGGCTCTCATGAAAGCACCTACATACATATGTTTAATGAAACAACACAAAATTGTACACGCACCGAATACNATAGTGAAAATCGTAACAAGCAGAAGTACGATATCATGCTCAATCATAAGATTTTACTAAACATTTGTATTTATACTCATATCTAATGTTCCTTGTTATTGAATAGATTGTTAGTTATTTTCTGAAACTCTCGTCCGAGCTATTTCTCTATAATGCTTAGAAATTTCCTTTTTTTACCAGTTTTATTTTTCAGCATTGCGACCAATTCTACACTACAACCAATTGTCGTAGACCCATTTAGTACGTCATCTAGTGACATAAAGCTTGGAGAGAAATGTTGAATGCACGGGGAGTGGTGACGCCCAGTTTTTATAGAATAATTAAGAAAATTCAATATCATATTGTCGGAGCAAATATGCGATTTTCAGAAATGTTATTTTATTCTAACATTCAACTTCACATAAGAAATTTATATTGATCACATGCAGATTGTAATCAAAATAATACTGATATTTGAGGAGTTACAGATTGATTATCAACATGATCAACAGATACAGTTAAATATCAGGGATCTGTAAGAAACGAAGGTTTTTTTTATTATTATTCATCTTCTTTCTATATTTTACAGGCATAATCGTATTATTATGTAAGAACAATACATGATAAAACAGTATTAACAATAATTGCAGAAGACATGTGTCTTTATGCATAAAAAAATATCTGAAGAAGAATGTACAATTGAAGAATAAAGATTTCATTCATTATATTCAATCAATGGTGATTGACGTATAACTAATGATGATGAACATAGTATAACAAGTAATTTTTTATTATAGTGCAAATGATCCGTTTAAGTTTGTTTTTCACATTTTTTTTAAATAAAGGTAAAATGAATATATGTTTAGTGTATATGAGATGTTCATGAAACATTAACTATTGTTTGACATGACACTGACAATCAATTTTATTTTTAAATAATGAGGATCAAGTGACTGATCTTATTCTTAGTTTTGTTAAAAAAAAGTTGTGATGAGAATGGAATTAATCCAACAGATTGAAATAGTCTTCATAAAAAGCTTTTCATATGTTTAGCTAATTTAATTGACTTGAATAATGTTCTTATTATTTTTTCATAGAAACTGTTTAAATTGAAACTGAACTTTTTGAAAAATTTTATCGTAAAACACGATGAATTACATTAATACTAGAATCATTATTATTATGTTTGGTTTCAATATTTCAATTATTCGAAGATCAGAAATAAATAGCTCTTCGTTTATATATATATGTTATCTGATGAAAGAGATGAGTTTTTTTCTGTTATTGGATAACATTTTTTATTACTTGCTGAAAAACTTCAATGATGTAAATTATTGCTTGATTTTTAAAGATCATTATTGATTCGTGAAAAGAAATTCTACAGTCAGTTTCGTCTTGATAATTCAACAATTTCTCTTCAGAATAGTATTCAGTAACGATCAGCAACATTTGAAGCCTGTCATTATTTTTTTTAATGAAATATCACAATTTTTATTTTGTAATTTATTATTTTTAATTAATAAAAGTTTTTTCATGAAGATATTGGGTGTATACGAACCAATCTCTTAACAGTACTGATAAGAAAAAAATCGTATCGGTTGCAAGTTCGGTTTGGTCATCCTTGCTCTTCTGTTTAAAAAAAAATTATTTAACGGAACATGAAAAAATAAAATCCATTTTTACTCTAACATTGACTTTGAATGTCATGTTAAAAGAAACATTTTAATTTTATCTTTATATTTAATGGATTCTTAACGAGAGCCATTCTCTTTCCGGCACTTTAAGACAAGGGCTGATGAGAAAAATTTCAAACTTTTACACTAGATAGATCTTGTTCAATAGAGTAAAAGCAATTTTAGATTCAAGGTTCTCAACTGCTTCGTTCCAGGTGATATTGATGTCTCAAAGGCAATAAATCGCCGCGCTTTCTCAGCCACAGTCCGTCCGATATGACTGAATAAAAAGATCAAAATGCTGAGCATATCTTTAAAAATGCATGTCTTTTTTTATTACAGCTTCTTTCGTAAAACCTATCAAAAATCAACGGAGCCATATTGCTCAAAATTAAAAGAAGACACCCCAAAACCCTATCTAGTACTTGTAAGAAATGTTTCAATACAGTAAAATGTATAGAGCCTGAGAAACTGGAGTGATCTGCAGTGTTTTGTAAAAAGACTGACTTTGAGAAATATCCTGCATATATCAGGATTCTCTTTTCTCCTATGAAATCAGTTCGAATTTGATCATGTTTAGCGGTGTGAGAGGTTCATCATTGATCATCGGGACACCTTCATAACGAGAACTAGAGCTCGTTATGAGAAGAACGTAGTTTACTACTAAATGCTTTCAGATAAGTTATTTTCTGCAATTAATTTTCAATATCGGTTTTCGTAAAAGCACTAAGCAACAATGTAGATCTGTCATTTGCATGCCATTCGACGGAAAACACTTGGAATTGTATTAGTGATGAAAAAGTCGAAATTGAAAAGGGCGAGTCTTCAGAGTCAGGGAAGGAGAGAATTTCCTGCAAAGAATTGCTTTACACAACAACTACTAAACGAGTTATATTTTAAAATTATTCATCATCATCAAAAGGAGTCATGAAGATGACGAAGTCAAGAGCACTAAAGAGCGTATACAATAAGTTCATGAAATTATGTATCTTCAATGGAGAGCGTTCCATCACGTTAAACTTAAGATTATCTGAAGTTAAAGATGCAATCACATGCAAAAATGAAAGTGTTTCTCTTCAAACGCGTTTTATAGCTAATCTGAACTTGTTTGAATGCATCCTATTGGACAAAATTACAATAAAGGTGTTTCAGTACGTTTGAAGTTTATTTGAATGTGAGTTGAGTTTAAACGACATTATTTGCAACAGAAACGTGTTCAGACACGTCTAAATTCTGTTTCATGATTGCATGAGAAAGACAGAACAAAGAAAGATTGGCTATGCAAATATCAGATGTGTATGGTCTTGATCGAGATATGTCAAAGCTGCATCAATCAAATCTTTTTTTCTTTTTCTATTGCCTATTGATAACGCTCAAAGGTAGAATTTACAGCTTTATTGTCTTTGTTTAGTATAACATTAGTCGAAGCAACACGAAATACACATTGGTGATAAATTATGATTAATCGACTTCTTGTCAAAGTAAGTTGCTTTTGAACTGAAAGACAACTGACTGAAGATCTTGCAGACGATTCCATTGAAGTTTTGAATCAATAAATGCTCTGATAAGATGATCAAGTGTTTTAAATGATTAGAAATGCCTG